CAGGTAACAAGTGTGATCAGGGAAGGATTTTTCAAAGGAATCTGTATTACAGTTGCTCCATACTTCTGAGATACTAATTATATTAAAGAGCAGGCAAAATTTTATAAATTTGACGCTATCAAGTTTGTTGTATTGTCCAAGGATGTTCCAGTTCAAGGGGGAGATAACTCTTTCGAACTGGGCCTGGCCACTTCGCTGCAGATGACTGTTACCCGATTGATCAGATTGTAATCGACGAGAGAACGAGACTAAATCAGTTTCAGGGTTCATGACCATAATTTTCAGGTTCCTTGTCAAACTTGAGGCGACTTCTCTTCCTCTTCGCCCACTCAGGATCCATTACTGACTTTAACATCTCTCTTTTAGACCTGACTGCCATGGAGTAATCTTCTGGAAATGCTACATCAGCGTCCTTTGGCGATATTGCGATGCTAAGAACTGTTTCTCTATCGCTCTAGCTTAGGAATTTAGCATGATAAATTTCCCCCCGATTGATTCGATTGGCGCGTTCGATCAAGTCATCTGTTTTCATTTTAGATATTCACCTTGCCAAGTTTCTTTTGGCTTTAACTTTGTGATTTTACCAGGGCTTCCCCGAGTCTTTTCGTCCAGACCGGTTTGGCTGCAAAGTGGGGTCGAAAACATAACAGCATGACTCCTTATTCGTCATGTAAACGACCGTTCAACGTGGCATACCTTGCATCAGGTAATATCAGTTGACTCAGAAAGATAGTGGTCATTGGTAACACATCAGCCAACGTCATACCTGTCACCCACATTGACAGCAGCAGGGATATCACGCAAAAAGTCGAAATATCAACTCGGTAGTCACGATCCACTGTGATGTTGGGTCATAAGGTAGAACGTTATGGATCTGTTTGAGGCCTCGTGAGTGTTGAATAGTCCAGCATGTGCTCTCCATTGACTCAAACTGTCTCCCATGCTTGTCCATGCAGCTTTTTTCTTCGAATAAGTCCAGTAATTTTGTTTAAACTGAATTTCTTCACCATCGTCAGTGAGACCAGTCTTTACTTTCAAAGGACTCAACTCTTTTACCTACAGATATGATCATATCATTTCCATTTGCCGATACCAGAAGAAGATTCCACTGCTCCCTACTGTTTTGGCATGGTACCGATAAATTAAGGACCATTAGCCTCTATAAATAATATGTCTCTCAGTTACAAATACACATGAATCCCAACATTACAGTATGACCAGTAGTGTCACTCGCATCCATTATGATTTTCGAAGAAGCTAATAAGATAATAACCATATTGATTAATTAAATACCGAATCTTTTCTTAAAATGGTACCAAATGACCATATCATTTATGGTTAACTGCTTAAACATTCAAGCTCACCATTCAGTACTACCAACTGGCATATAATTGCATAAGGATTGTTTAGTTCTCTTATTTGTTATATAATAAAATGAATGAAAATTGTTAAGTCGACTTACCAATACTAATCTGTTGATTCCCGAGTTCCTTTTTAACAAAAAACAATTGTTTTGAACAAATAACTAAGATGCAACATTTATTGAATTTTACAGTAAGACCTGATGCGTTAAATTTAGAAATCTCTTCAATTTGTCTACCAAAAGCTCTGTTTGCACAAATATCTGGACTTTTAATTAACTATGATACATGTCATGTTGTCTGGGTGGGTCCTAAAAAAAGTTAATGCAGACCAGATCTAGACTCTTCAGAAATCTTTAAAATTGTGGCTATAAGGTTTTCAATTGACACTCACAAAGGAAGTCAAGTATTTCCTTTTAACTTAAGAGACATCAGTCAATAAGACTAATACTTATGTGGGCGAATTCGTCTATCTTTGAGTGTCCATGATAAAATTGAATTTTGATATCCAGATATATGACACTGAAGAAATTATGTATCAGCGGATTAACAGAACAATCACTCCCTTGTGAACAAAATTGCTGTCATCAAGTCGCTGCTTATTTCAAAATCATATTTTTAGTATTTCCCTTCCATTCCACGTGGACATTTTCCAAAAAGAACTCAACGTCAATCTTTTCCCCTTTCTTTCAGATATGAAACCTGCTAGAATAAGAAAAATCAATAGCCTGTATACCGGTTGTTGAAGGAGGACATGGGATGATAAATTTCTTCATCCAAACGGGGACGTGGGGGTGTTGACCAACACATTGCACAAAAACTTGATGCAGTGGTCGATCAGATAGCCTCTCCTTGAAAAACTGACTCTGGGCTGATCTAATATGGCACTTCCCTTGGCTGACACTGATTTCTGTACCTTTCATCAGTACAGAACCATTAACAAAATCAACACTGGCATTGAGATTATGTCCCACATACTACGCTCGTTTCGGAAAACTGTGGAATGCCTTGTTTTCATCAAGAGTCCTGACATGCTTCACAAGAGGATCATCAGACAAAAAAAGTGCACAATACAATTCTGTCATCAAGAGCCTCCGGGTTAATCAAACCACGCCCTACGATTATGATTAGAAGATATAAGCGATTGAGGGAAGAGCGAGGGTGGTGGGATCTATTGTCTGACATGATTCTTCGTGTGAGGGTGTCTATATCTTGAATTTCTTGTTACGTCCACTCAGCAACACCAAAGGCTATGAAAGGACCGGTACAGCATTAATATTTGTTGCTTTAACTTTATTGAACTCCAGATTTTCAAGTCAACATCTGTACTCTGATCGAAGTTTTTCCTTGATATAGGCATCCTGGAGTTTGTCCCTAACCTGCACCCCAAAGTACGTATAGGCCTGACCTTCCACGAGATTGTCAATAACTCTTCCCCAAAGTAAACAGACTGATCCTCCCTCTTGCTACCTTGCCACGTTTCAGATGAAGAAGGGACAGTCGGGTAGCCTAGTGGTTAAAGCGTTCGCACGTCACGCCGAAACCCGGGTTCGATTCCCGACATTGGTACAATGTGTGAAGCCCATTTCTGGTGTACCCCGTCGTGATATTGCTGGAATAAGCGGCGTAAAACCTCACTCACATACTCACTCACTCAGATGAAGAATGTTGCATTTGTCGAGTCCAAAGGACATGCCAATATTTTGAGAAAAGGATTCGACAATGTGTCAGTGTGGATACTCCATTGTCAACAAGTTCAAGGTCATCCATGTAAAGGAGTTGAGTAAGGGTGTAAGATATCTCTGCTGAGGAGGTCCAGGATGACAAACTTTCCCCTTTGCTAAGCAAAAAGCTTTAAGGATTTAGTTACAAACAGAAAAGGAAAGGACTAACAGATTCGCCCTGAAATATTCCTCTTCTAATAGAAAGGCACTGCGAATACATCTCAAGTTGAGTTGACCAGAAATTCGTTAAAGACTTGAGTAAAACAAATTGCCGCTCGGGGAGGTCAATACATTCCAGCGACTTCAAAATACATTCGTGAGGTACAGAATCCCAAGCTGTTCTCTAATCTATCCAACACATTGAGAGGTTACAGTGGTAAGTTTAAGTCTCTTCAAGGATCATTTTCTGAACCAGCAATTGATCCTTACAACCCCAACATCCTTACAATTTGCAAATTACTCGTTGTATTTCTGGCCACCCTGTTGCTTTCGCACACTCAAGAAGTGTGGACTTCAGTTGTTGCGCCTAATATATATTCTTGGACGGGTCCTGTGTCTCCCCCTGGAGCAAGCACCATCTCCAGTTTTGTTTTCTTGTATACCGGAAGGAGGCTGACTGGGCTGCGGAATTAAAAAGATGAGTTTCTTACTGGCTTTCTGTAACCCTTTTTTGAACCAGTTACGGGGAGTTAGCCCTAACTGGGTGATGTACGTGTAGGTCTGGGTAATAAATCCTCCCTATCTAGGCCCATCACGGAGAGACATACATACATCATCAGGGCAGTAGTAGTAGTAGTAGTAGTAGTAGTAGTAGTAGTAGTAGTAAAGAGGGTTTGGGTGATCGTTGCATAGTCAGGCTGGTAAGGCTCATCATCAACTCAAGGCCCTTGCCCCCTTTACATACAGCGCAGACAGCGAATGGGACTCCTCCGAGGAAGCGCTGCCTAGTCAAACCCACTCATAACGTCTCGGCGAATGTGAAAACTCCCCAACAACGCAACCTTCTACATTAGATTATCAGAAGGGCTGTATTCTGGCAGCAAACCTGGGTACTCTCCCAATGTCAGTCAACAGATTGGGAGGTACCAAACCCAAGCTTCTAAGGCACCAAGAACAATAGGAGCGTCAGACAACCGGGTACTTGGGATGCAAGCATGACAATTCGAAACGAGATCTTCATATTTGCCATGTTTTACCTGAATCTTGTCAATCACATTTGTGTGAAAAGGGATAGGAAATTCAATGATATAAATTGTTTCATTAGATTTATCCAAAACGACAAGATCAGTTGTCAGTACCTTGAATTTCTTGTTTCGTCCAATCAACAACACCACAAAAAGAATGGGAAAGGACGGGTACAGCATAAGTATTTGTGGCTTTGACTTTATTTCGAGTCTATTCTGGAGAACCTACATCCCTAAGTACGTATAGGCCTGACCTTCCACAATACAGTCACTACCTCCTCCCCTAAGAAAACTGACGGATCCTCCCTACTTCTATAGTGTCACGTTATTGAAAGAAAGGGTATGACTTACCACATTATTTATGTGACTCTATCCAAACTATATTCTTGTAATAAAGAAAACAATTTAAAATAGATAAAAATGAAAACACACTGTGTGTAGAGCAAATATTATGTGTCACCAACATGTTTTAGTCTTACAATCATAATATCTGATTAAATTTGTATTTTCTATTTTCTTTCTATGACTATTTGTTATGTTTCGTAACTGTAATCTGATACTCCGTGATGTAATTTGAATACTGTTCGAGGCGGTGATTTAGAATGTGAATTATCATCATGATGCATGAAGTTTGAATTTCATCTGTACGTGACGGTTGTCTAACATGCTCTTGTACAATGTACTTGGCATAAAATACATTGACAGATGGAATGAATGCTTTTTATTCAGTGAAGGTAATTGCATTTGTTGCACATCTTCATAATGAACAATCCCATGTCTTACTTTTAATCAATATAATATTGTTTTATATTGTTATCTGATCAGTTTGATGTGGCATGTTCACATCGGTTTAGACTCCTTGGCACACTCCTGTGTAGGAATCCAGGTTTTCAATTCGTGTGACAACAAGCTGATAGTCCCTAGGTCCATGGAAATATTCTTGATATTCGTCTATACGATGTTGGGTAACTGGCAGAAAGAATGTCCACTGAAATTGTTTGAAAAGTAGTTATTAGACAGAGAACATTTTCTTCACAACATCAACCATCACACGATATATTATTATTATAATTATTGAAAAACACAACCTATATTTCCCAATCATTCGAGAATAATCGTGAAGTTTCGACAGTGATTTTCCCGCTTTCCTTAAAGCATGTTGTCTGTTACTGCATTAAGTCTTTAAAAGGCATTTAGAAGTGATACACATAAGAAAGAGAATGCTTACTCCTTCATCAGGTGAATTCATCACTTTATCATCATTCACCTGATGAAGGAGTACGCACATACTCCGAAAGGTTGTGTTCCTCATAATAAAGAAGTTGACATCCATATATTCTCTTCTTTCTATGACTGCATGGCCCTGATGTAACATAGCAAACGCCAATTACAACAGAGTCAAAATTATAATAAAAGGAAGGCCAAGACAAACTGCTACCTTGATAACATATGTTCATGGGATAGTTATAACACATGTGTTTTGATTAACAAATTGATGCGGTAGTTCTACCACATACTACTGCTTTAGTTATGCATCATCATAAAATAAGGAAACGTGTTGAGGAGAGATTTACCTTTACCGGATACTCGGCAAGAGTTCTGAAACATGCCAATTGCTGGCCGTTGTTTATGATGTCTACTTGTCTCTCAACCGTCCATTTAATCATGTCGTTGTATTCAAGTGTTGACAAGCCTGAACGGAACACGCAATGAGATCATTGAGATGGTACTCATAACGTATTATTCCTTTTCTAACACGCTGATGTAATACAAATTGCATTTCATCAAGTATTACAATATTAACAAACTACAGTATGGGATATCTTCATATCGCAGGTAAGAAACGAAACTGTGAGAAATACAAGAGTAAGGGTTTGGGTCAGTTGGGTCCATCGTTGCTTATACCTAGCGAAATATCCTCGAAAACTTTAAGCAAATAAGACAGGAAGCCAATTAAACAGGATTAAGAAAACATAGGCGAATGTTGACTGATTCTGTTAGTTTTCAACAACCTCCATGACTTCAAAGAAAACTAACATAAACAGTGTCGTCACTGATTTTTAGTGATCTATTCGTATAATTGTCACCACTATTGTGCCTTTTACACCCAATGGAATCTGTTTCTGCAGACAATTGAGGCTTCTTGTTCTTAGGTGTTTTATATTAACACATCAGTCAATCCTTTGATTGACAAGCTTAGTGCCCTCAACTCGCACAATATTCATACAGAAGTAGGTGCCTGTTTGTAAGGAGGTGTGGGAACTTAATGTAGAGGTCAGCGTGTCTATTTTGCTTTCCTCAGAGCGAGGTACATGTATGTTCTCTCGGATTTGCTATAAGAAACCAATATCATAAGTTATATATATATACGTTCATGCTTGTTATATAAACGAGATCATAAACAATGATTCTGTATTTGTGGAGAATATTTCTCTTCTTCTATTTCTACAGTTTTTTACCTTTCACAGGAAATGTCACTTTGCCCATCAGAAGGTCACGATTCCCGAAAGATGACGCAAGCATATCCTTTGTCATGTTGACACCGAGCTCCTGGGCGAAGTCACTGTCGTAGTAGAGGGATGTGACATTGAACTCATATCCTTTGCTTGATAGAAAGCCTGTCAACTGGGGCCAACTGCATGCTTTCTCAACGTCAAGAACTGAAAGATGCAGCAAATTCAAGATTCAATAAATAAATTATCATACAACTCAAATGTCTTACCATCAAGTCATGTTTGGAAGAATTATATATCCTCCATACATGCTAGGTAAATACTGGTCTTAGAATCTACTATCGGAAATTTTGAAAACAACACTTGTCTATTCTCCATGTTTTACTGAAAAACAATTGCATATACCTTGCATTGCAGGGAAAATATTACCATGCAGACATTAAGTGTTTATATATTGAGAAGTCAAAATGTTATACACAACTTCTTTTACTGACCAAGACTCTTAAAGGCAGAGTGTGATTGGGGAATAGCGGCTATCTATCACCTCAAAAGCAGATGCTTCAGGCAAAGGGGTCTCACCAGCCTTGGCTTGTTGCTCTTCTAGAAGGAAAACTCCCATCCATGGGAAAGACTAAGGGACATCCAGTGTTTTATTTTGCCTTTCCCTTGTATCTATCAGCAAGACGTTGCATGGACAACAGCTGATAACTCCAGGGCCCAGTCCCACAAAGCAAACTAAGCACTTCGACTGTCGTAACTGTATGTTAAAGTATGGGAGTTACAATCACCTTTAGCTTCAAGATCTCTTTGTGGAACGGGGTCCAGCATTGCCTCACAGTGATGGCACAACCTGGGAAGCAGGTGTCTACCGGTGATAAGTCTTGCTTGATTGGTGTAGAATGTAACACCAAGGCCAGCTTCCGATTGTGGGAGGTATCAATGTGTTGTGATCTGACCAGCCCTACCAGTGGACATGGCCATGCTACAGGAGCTGATCAAGCCAGAAAGAACACCGCCGACTTTGCTGACAAGAACTCAATGCCCAGAATGATAAAACCTGGCAAGAGTGGAGTGGACAGACTTCTGACCCTCCGACTCGTCACGTCCCACTGGCCTCATCAGGCTGCACGATCATAACCTCTGCTCCACACAGGAGGCAAAACAACGAGGTCCAGTTCTACGATCTGCTCCAGACCGTCATCAAGGGGGTCACCATTGAAGAACAGCTGTTAATGCTTGGCGACTCTAATGAAAGAGAGGGTACTGACCTTGAATTCCGGCCCTGTTGTGAGGGACACTACGAATTGGCAAGATGGATGAAAATATACTTCTCATGCTGGTCACACAACCACTGCCTGTGTAGCACTTATTCTTTGTTAGACTAAGCTTCAGCACAAGGTGTTCTAGTCCAAGTACTGGCCTTCATCATTCTTTTACATCTTTGTACCTCAGCGCCGAGTGAAACACAAACCATTACTTGATCAGATTTCAGCGAAAGAGGATGCACCACACTACGCTAGAGGGAACGACTCATAAAGATGTCAGCAATATCTCACACCAGCAGGGAGTGAACTCCTTTACTGGTACCTTGAATGATTATATGGCCACAGAGCCTCCACAGTGAGATGCCAAGATGCCAAGTCACTCTCCATGACGCTTCAGTCTCAGCCTTTGGGAAGAAGCAGGGCAAAACGCATGGTTGGCTGAAAGCTCGCTCGTGTGAAATGCAGGGTGGATTCAGGGTAGCATGACCAACAGACAACATGAGCTTCTCAATCAACAGCTGCAGGAAAAATACAGAAAGCAAAATACGCCAATCTATGTCACATTCATAGACCTCACAAAAACCTTCGACCTTGTGAGCCGAGATTGGCTCCTCTGTATTTTGATGTAACAAATAAGATAAGAACCGTGTAAAGTAAGCAATACTGCATCTTTTCTTTAAAATATATACCAAACGACCTTGTCATTGATGGTTAATTCCTTAAAACCTGCCAAGATGACCATTTAACATTACCAACTGGCATATGATGACGGTAGGTATACACTCCTAGTGTAAACATACGTTTATTTATATATAATGACAATTAAAGCAAATTGTTAAGTCAACTTACCAAGAATAATTCGTGGATTCCCGAGTTCCTGTTCAACAAAATACAATTGTTTTAAACAAATAACTGTGATACTACATTTGCTAAATATTTTGCATATTCTTACGAATAATTTGCTTATCCATGTTACATACAATAAATGAAATCATTTTACAAAACCTGTTCAAGTGTTCGTTTGTTTTGCATTGAGTAAGTGAGTGTGTGAGTTGAGAGAAAATCCCGAAGGTGATGCAAAAATTAAAACATATGTTGTTGCGACTATATATTTATGGTAATATATAGACGATGTAATTGTAGTGTATTGGGTGATCGATGTTGTGCTTTGGATTATGACTTGTTCGCAATAAATGTACAACCTTGAATGAAAAAAGGACATCGATGTCAGATAGATCTTTCACTGTCTCCTGAATGTCCAGTATATCCGCTGTCTCATTCTTCCCTTCCTTAGGGGGCAGGAAGATGTCCACTTGGTATAGAAGGGCGTCTCTACCCTCATCAGCGCTGAGAACCAACAGGGGGAGACGCGAGAGGGTGATGATACCAGCGACGAGCAGCAGCATTGTTGCAAATCCTTATGAACAGGCAAAAAAGAGGCTTCGTGAGGCACGTATTTAAGCTCTGATGAAAATCAAACATCTCTTAGTTGACAATTGCTGCAATTCAACTGAGATACTTCACTATCAGATCAAAGGTGCCGACTGACCATCGCGCTGTTCCAATAACCTCCCCTTTGGGCTGAGCTATCTTTGTTTACGTCATTCTTTCATTACTGTCAACCAAGATAGCGCATTTACAACTCTTGTTGAAAATTCGAAAGATATTACCTGGGAAGAAATAACTACGGCAAGATGATGTCAACCATATGTCATGCTACAAGGTTATCGCAAACATATTCAAACCACTTTAATATTGTCCATGCCACAGCAGTCCTAAAAAATATTTTCAGAGGCGAGCCTTGGTGCTGTAGGTGTCTGGTGTCTCTGGACGAAAGAATGAGCAATTCTTTCATAACCAGGCCACGCGTGCATCATTTGCTCAGCGTACGGCATTTAGCAATATCCTGCACTCAAACGCTTCCTCCACCCATGCAATGTTCACGTGAATGAATCAACAAAACCCGTCTATGCTAAAAGGAGAGTTCCTTCTACAAATCCGACTATGTCATGACTGCTAAACACACGCATTTTAGACATAGACCAGATGTTGAATATCCTGTCAATGTTGTGTCAATAAAAAGTTATCATATGACGTGTTAGTAAATTGTAGAATGTATGTGGTCTATATAAGTCCTAAATTGTTCATCGTATTCATAAATCATCTTGTATCCTTGTCAAAAAAGAATGGTTGAGTAGGTATATTTGTTCCAAAAGACACGCCTAACGTCTTCGCTCTAATCTTTGCCGGTGATTTATTTTTCTCCGCCCTGAAGGCGGGGAAGTATTGGGCTTAGTTTTATTTTGACTGAAGGAGATCGCCATTTTTGTTTCTCTGAAGAATTATGAGTTTTTAAATTAATGAAATGAGAGTGACTTAATCTGGACATATTTTAACCAATCGCCTGTCACATTCTGAGACAAAGTGACGTTTCGTAAATGTAGATAACGCATGCAATTTGTTCATTTTGTTTTTAAAAGAGCTAAACATGTTTTGGGGAAATATATTTCATTTCGCCGTTAACCGGTTATTATTTTGTAAGAATAAATTATTGCGCATTGAGGATTATCTCCTTTAGCTATAGGCGTAGTATAGAGTTTTATCACGCCCTGACCTTACAATGTTTTACATCGTATCTTATTCAAGCTGTTTCACAGTGGGTGAGTGATTATCTCCCTTACCCACACTTCCTCTGCAATGTATCGTATGTTATTCAGGCAGCCAGCGAGAAAGGTTCGAGGGAGGAATTCAGTTCAAGCTTGTAACGCGCAAACAGGCAATGATGCAACAACTTTAATCTATCAATGGAAACTGATCGACATAACAATGTTCATTTTATTTTGACACTCCAACTATGGACAAATTTTAAAAGTTGCTACAGACCAAAGAAAAAGAAGTTTTATTCAAGTGTTGAGACATGCCAAAGAGATAAAATCATGTATGTTATATTTTAGCATGCAGTTAATATATTATAATACAAATGATTGTTTGGGGGGTCGATGACCTTACACTGAATAAATATTTCTCTCTGTCTAAATGTGGATCTAACACGTCCCATTTTAATTCTGGAAACCAAAAAGTCCAGAAACTCTACGGTCTTTGCCCAGTCTCGGTTAAAGATGCTGTTTTCATGGGAACATACCAAGGAAGAAAAAATGAAAAAAAAATTGTTCAAAAACTTAACTTAACTTAAAACTTAAAAACAAAAAAATTAGACTATGTCGCCCATGGGCAGGCCCATGGGCGAAGTCTGGCCCATGGGTAGGCCCATGGGCAGGCCCATGGGCGAGTATATGTTCTTAGAAGTTTCATGTCACATAATTTAACAAATGTTAACTTAATTCAACTATTTTACGGCGTTATTAAAATATTTCGCCCATGTTTTCGTCAGTCCCTTTAAAGCATCAACTAAATGTGTGCAAAGTATATTGTATCATGTGAAATATACTTTATATTATATTATTACATTACTATTTAAAAAGGGCATTTGGTTGGATGATTCCTTTATAGAAGTTCTACAAATTTCACCTGTTTTACATATTGTAGCGATCTTTAATGAACCCGGCCTTACCGCTCAAAACGTTTTGACAGTTTATCATACGAATTCATGTGCGTGTACTCCAATTCATTGGAGTTATTTTCCACAACATTAAATTTTAGTTAGTTTCTATTTCATTTCCCATTTTATGTCCCGTTGATACATCACACTGGGCAATTACGTGACACTAGGTATGCAATATACAGGTACGCGTGCGCGTATTTTTATGAAAAAAACTATTCGTCTTTTATTGCATAACGTTTGGCTGAATATCTTACATTCTAACGAAATCTCGAAATAATTATTTAACTACAGGCGGTGTCGAACTGACCAGTGGGAATTTTGTTTCAATGCGATTGAGGAAAACGTGAGAGAATATTGTGACACTAAAGCAACTTTTAACTGCATTGTCACTTTTGGTATGAAAATGGTAACAGTTCAGAAAAAACAACAGCCTTCTTATGATAATTCTCATTAGTATGTTGTATCTAATTACAGTGTCGGCCTTATTTACAGGTGATTCTACAATACCTGCTCTCGGTCAATTACGATCTACCACACCACGCGTGAATAAACAGTTATGCAGGTGTTGCTGTGGGCAAATACCTAGCCTGAAAATGTTTATTTTTTGTGGATACATGTTTTACAAATGTTCGTTGATATGTGTATACATTAAGCACAAAGACAAAAAAAATGTTTATGAAAGATGAATTAGTGCCTTGATATATTCATTGAGATGTGTATCATCGTTTAATGGGGTCATTTAATAAACGTATGTTTGGAGAAGATATCAAAGGAGCCGCCCAATATACACAGTGTCGTCCGGTGAACTACCACCCCACCCTGTCCATAAGAGTTATGTAATCGGTACACAAATATATTTGATGCGGTGTCAGTAAGGAAGGAGTTTGAATTACGTCCGCCACTGGCCACAGAAATCCTCAAAGTATACGACAATCAACAAGGTCAATGCCGTACTAATTACCTAGTGACGCACGTAACAACGACTGTCAATAGGGAAAATGGTGAAAACAAATTGAAAAAGATTTTAATAAAACATTATTGTACTAAATAACTTGCAAAAGCGGTGCCCAAAATTGTTTGACCGTGTAATGTGTGTTGTAAACTGACGAATAGCAAGTAATTGTCATGCTGTACGCATGGTTCCATATACAAATTCAGTTATACAACCGGTATGAAACTGAGAACTGAGATGCCAAGTACAACCTGCATTCACACACGGAAGCAATATACTTGTGTATATGCCCCTCTTCTCTGAAAAATGTATCACTAAAGTATTTGCATTGTAATAAATATAGTAATGATAAAACTTGGTAATTTGGTAGGTCTCCGACAGATATCATTTTCAGTTTTTTTACACCTTTGATTGATACGGATTACGTACCTGTAGTCTAGTCACTGTCTCTAATGTATCTGCTTGTTAGAAATTTCAAATGTCCTGTTATAGAACTGTTCCTTAAATAAGGCAGTTTCTTTTATCGGGTATAAATAGTTGATTCGTCTTGTCACGCAGTCATTTTTACTTGATCGAATGATTTCCACAAAAACTTACGGGAGAGAGTTTTGGATTTTATTATGTAGAAGAAGAAGAAGAAAAAAGAAAAAAAAGAAGAAAATTGTTTTATTAAAGTGTCACATGCTGCAGTACTAAATATATGGACATATAAACATTTCATTAAAAAAACAGCACCCGGCTAGTTGGCCTACGAGACACTAATTACATAATGGTACATTTAAAATATATAAAAAAAGAAAGGAAAAATTAGTTGCAACTTTGTATATTACTACACCATCACCCACACCCACACCCACACCCACACCCACACCCACACCCACACCCACATCCACATCCACACCCACACCCACACCCACACCCACACCCACATCCGCATTAAAATCCCGCTCAAAGCATTCAAACAGGTAAGCATACAAACAGGTAAGCATACAGGACGGTCACAGCAAGCAATCTCATACAGGACACTCACAGCAGTCTCATACAGAACACTCACGGCAATCTCATACATGTCATACATCTATACACATATGCGTCCATATACACACAACTTAATTCATCAATCGTGTATACTAACCTACTTGTATAACCAGCATACATACTAACATACCAACCTACATACATACCTATATGCATCAAACATAAATCAATCCGTATTATACATACACAGGTCCATCCATACCTATGTCCGTTCAAACACACCTCAATCCAAATATACTAACACACATCCATACCTATATCCATTCAAACACACCGCAATCCAAATATACTAACACACATACAACCATACATCCATACCTATATTCATCCATACACATATCGATCCATATATACATACACACATACAACCATACCTATATCCATCCATTCACACCTCAGTCCATATATACATATACACATACAACCATACAAGTGTCGTACTGAATACAGTATGAACATACATTAAATACAACAGATGATATAAATGAGAGGCGCTGTGAACTAACGTACATAAACACACCCGCCTACACACCTACGTGCATATATAAGACAATGCATAACATTATGGATGGGATAAAAAGTAATTAAAATAAAAGCTAAGAGTTTATATAAAGTTTACGGCGCCTGTACATTCTGTAGACAAGGGAGGCTAGGGATTTACTTATACATGTAGTATTCATTAGATAACAGGTCTGTTGCAGTAGAGAAAAGGTCGGGAAGGAGGGTTCCAAGGAGGCAATATAATTCCATAAATCATATCTTAGATCAGAATAAAAGTTACATTCAGTTAGAAAGTGGATTTCATCTTCGATTGCTTTAGAGTCACACATTTTACATATCTTACGTTTCTTCCAAGGGGACAGTC